GGCTCATGGTAAGCCTCGTAGAGGGTTGGCTGCGCAAGAGCCTTCCCTGCTGTGTGTGCGGGTTCGACTCCTACGGAGGCCCCGAATTTTGTAAAATTGGATCAACTGAATTAAGCAGACCTGCCACCTCCCACCACCCCTAAGACTATCACGTGTATTCGGGGTTGCTGGAGAAGCGCATCGTAGGATAGAGGAAGCAGAGAAACAAACAGTGGAGAAGATGCGCGAATTGAACATACCTTTCCCGAGGGTACACCCTTCATGGCGGGGTATATGAAGATGCCGCCGTAGACCAGGGTCCGATGAATGTCAGCTACCATGGAGCCAATGTAACGTGCCTGGTAAGGTTTCCCGCTCTACATAGGGAGGAGGTAGGGGAAGTGGAAGGAGTCAGTGGGAATCAACAATAAAAATTGGATAACATAATAAACAAAGAATGGTAAAACTTTGATAAACCTCGATACACATGTGTGAATCAAGCCCCAGCAAACTATTTGACAGTTGAGATGAAGAAGATAATGCCTCTATTCGTTTCACGTTTCGATATCCGTAGCGCATTCTTCATCAGAGACACCAGCAGAAAGCAATAACAGAAACGGGAGCTGCTGGTTTTAGCCTATACAGGCTTATAAAGGTGGCAACACTATCAGGAGTTTGATCACCTCTGTGACCGCTCACCTGCTAACTAGGCGGATTGCCACAACCGGACAAAACACAAATTCAACTTTCAGGTAAACAAGAACTAGTCGCCAGTGGTCTGCCTAGGTGCTGCATCCGGCTATGACCGAACCTCAAAAGGGCGTAATTTCATTCCTAAACTTGACAGTTTTGTGGTCTGGACAAGGTCACGTGTTACTGGAAGGCCCGTCTGTCGAGGTGGTTGTTGTGAATCAAAGGATTCCGAATGAGAAATCCGGTTAAAAGACAATCAACCTGGATGCGAAATTTCGCGATGTTCCAGGTATTTGCATGAATGAAGGAGACTGTTCGAGCACCGGAACAGTTCTGCTTTAGACTTCGTGCAGGAGTGCATGCTTAGAGATAGCAATAGCAATTAGCAATAAGCGACAAGTATCGGGTGTGTAAACCAATCATGCAGGTCTGGAGTTAAGTGCGCGGGGCGCTGTACGCCGGCGCCAAATCGATTAATTGAGTTCCCATCCTTGGACCAGGCTTCAATAAATTCTGGGCTCGTCTTGTTGCCGGCGTGGGCGAATATCTTGACGGCTGCAAAGTTGAACTCATGGCCCGTTTCGTAAGTGTGGGCAGCTTCTTGCTTATATTCATGTATGTGGACCCAGAGTAGCCGTCGCCTACTTCGAAAGCAAGACGAGCAGAAAGTTGATTGAGGCCTGGCTCACGGATGGGGACTCAATCAATCGCTACATATATCTGCCGCTGACGTACAGAGCTCTGCGAAGTCACCTCTAGACTTCCATCACTGATCTGCCTGCACCCCCTATGATTGTCGCCTCTTTTGCTTTTGCTATCGCTGATAATGAACTCCTGCACAAGTTCAAAAGCTCAAAAAATAAGCAAACTGTTTCAGTGTTCAAACAGTCTTCTCCCTCACTCACGATAAGCATACTCATTAATCAAAGACTAGATTGCAGAAAGTCTTATTCTTTACATAATAACGCTCTAGAAGTTAAGAACAAAGGAACAGCAAAACCGATCGATCCCAGTTCGTACC